CAGGAATGCAGTGTTTTACTGCTGAAGTGACATGAGCAGTTTCTGGCTTGCATCCTGAGGTCCTCCTGCACAGGCCAGATCTGCATGTGTGCCCATGATCTTGGCTGGCTGCGTCTGGTGGTGGATCGTGGTGTGACGGCCCTGAGAGGGATGCCTGTCTCTCTCTCTCACTGAGTCTCTCTCTCTCAGAAGAAATAAACAAAAAAAGAGCTAGAAGATGAATTCTCTTTTCAAAAATAGTACATGCTAGTTAGGAAAGCAGAGCATTCTGGATAAAATAATAAAAGAAAAAAAATTGAAGTAAGAAATTGGAAGGTGCTAAAAATAGTCTGTAAAAACAAACACTCTCCAAGGGGAACTAACTAGAAAGGTGAACAGAATCAGGCAAGGTACTCGCAAGGTTTCCTAAAGGCAGCACAATTTAAGTTTTGATAACGACAAATTTGAATTGTTAGACAAAGGGAATAGCCGACTTTTGCACAGGGAAGAAAAATACTTTATTTCCGATAGTTATAGAATGATAAGCTTATTTCTTCCTAGGTTGTAAGATTTTAAGATAAACAGGAAAATGTATTTAGCAAACAATCTACATATTTTCATCTTCTACGTTCTATTACAAATCTCAGTTATGGGGTCAGCAGGTGGCATAGTGGTTAAGATGCTGGACTCCCAGCGTGGTCGACTGCGGTTCGAGTCTTGGACCTGGAGGCTTGAAACTCACTCCAGGCATGTGTGTGTGCATGCCCAAAATCCCAAGAGGAGATCAGAGGAGAAGGTCTCCCTGGAGGGTGATTTCTCTGTGTATGTTTCTGGTGAGGTTATGCGCCCTATAATAAAAATCTCTCTAAAAAGCAAAACAAAACAAAAAACCCCTCAGTTACAAGGGGCCAGTAGAGGGTGTGGTGCTTCGAGTGCTGGACCTGGTGGCTTGCTTTCTCACTTTCCCTCTCTCTCATGATGAATTAAAAAAAAAACTAAATAAATCATTCTTTTAAAAACTCTGTTACATTTTCTTTACATAGACTAGTCCCAAATGTTCTAATATTGACTGTTCTTATAATTTGTTTTTTCCTAAATTTTGCTTGCTGAATCATTTTTATCCAATTCATCTATATAATTTTTACTTTTTTTTATAATTATTTTATTTTATTGATTGATTTTATTGATTGATTTTAATTTGACCAGAGAGGAACAGAGTGAGACAGAGAGAGAGAGAAAGGGAAAGTGAGAAAGTGAGAAAGTGAGAAAGTGAGAAAGCAACCTTTCAGGTCCGGGACTTGAACCAAGGTTGACCATGTGGGAGTCCAGTGCTCTTAACCACCACGCCACCTGCCAGCCCCGATCTATATAATTTTTGATATTGTCTTATGTCCCACTAAATAATTGCAGACCAAGCAAAGTCTGTATATTAACTAAATGACTCCCTGTGTGACATCCGTTGTTGTTGAGTCCCCACCCCCAACCCCAAGTGTAACAAATTTCCTTTCAAAAAATTATAGTCACAAACTACTATTTATGGGGACAGCAGTTAGCGTAATGGCTATGTCACTGGACTCCCATGTAGTCTACTGTGGTTTGAGTCCCAGGGGGCAGTTTAAAGTCCTGCTGGGCGTGTGTGTGCATGCCCAAGATCCTGAGAGGAGGATGGAGGAGAAGGGATTGCAGTGCGGCCATCCCCCCAGGGGATGATTTCTCACTTTGTGTCTCTGTCTTTCTGGCCAGCGCACGTGTCCTATAGCAAAAAAACCTCTCCAAAAACAAAACAAAAACAAAAACCCCCTACTATTTATAGTCATTTTAGAAATAAAGTTCCATAAGTCAAGTCGGTGGTGGAGACTGGAACCTAGCATCTCCTTGTGTGCTAGGAAGTATCGCAGAAATATTTTCTCTGCTTATTATTGATGGTGAGAAATGTCTGGGTTAAAGCAGAGAAACATTTTCATGGTGCTGAGCAAAGGTGACTTCCTGTTTTGTTTTAGATGTTGTTTCCATCTCTTTTCAAAGAAGGCCGCGTTTTCTGACATTCTGCAATCCTTTGCTCAGTGATTTCCCCTTGAAAGGGTTAGTGCTGGGGCCCTGCAGGTCATTCCATTTACAATATGGTTGAAGACGGAGGGGGTGTAGGGAGAGGGCGGAGAAAGGGAGCTCATTAGTGGAAGAAGCTGACCAGGAGCAGATCTGTTTTCTATTTCCTAGTCTAGATTGAACTCATCTGGATAGAAAGGATGTACTTGTTATCATCGTCTTCATCGTCATCGTCATTACCTGTGTCGTACAGCTTTCCTACACACTTATTCCAAGTGTTAGGTCAAATTGTTGGTGAGAATAGTTAGATAATAAAAGTAATTTTGTTTCAGTGAGCAAACAGAAAAAAAATGTCCAAGTGTTTTAAAGCGGTTAGTTTGCATTCTTAAGCTTAAAAAACAAAATTCAGATTTTCTAATTCTCAGGGCAAAGAAAACACTACTAGGAAGGGGGAAATAAAACCTATTTCTTGCTTCTGGTGGCCTATTTGTAATGGCACATAGCATTCATAGCATTTTTTTTTTTTTTTTTTTTTTTTTTTTTTTTTTAATGAAGGGCAATCCCTCCGGCCCCCGTAGTTCCTGGAAATGCAGCCCTCTGGTCACTAACTCTTGAGAGTTAAGCTCCGGGGCTGCTCGCAGGGGTCTGTGCTTTCTGCGACTTGGGCATTTCAAGAGGCACTGCCTAAGCCTTTCTTCCTCGGGTCTGACTCTTCCCAGAGCCCATACTCGCAGAGGAACCGCTGCAGAATGCTTAAAGGACTTTTACCAGGGAGCGTGCGGGTGGGCTCCTCCGTGGGGAATCGGGGTGGGCCCTTTCGAGAGGGGCTGGCGGATCCTCTCTGGGGCCAAAGATGGGCTGCCCAGCGTGGGGGTGGGAAAGAGGTGCACGGCTCAAGCCCGCGCGTCTGTCTGGGGGCATCGCGTCCTCGCCGCTTGCCAAGGCTTCCCTCCTCGCCGCCTGCAGCCCACCGACCTTTTCTAGCTCCAACGCCCACTCCCTTCCTGGGAAGAGGCAGGCGTTGCAGCGCAGCGACTGCCCGGGGGCGGAGCTCCGTCTGCTCGAGGTAGGAAAGTGAAGAGCAGGGGGTCAGAGGCACAGAACTCCTGGCGAGGCTCCTCCCGCGCGGTCCTGCTCCTGCTGCGGTCGCCGCAGCCCTACAGGACTCGCAAACTTACTGTCTCCCTTTCCTTAGGAGTTTCCTTCTTTCTGGTTTCTCCTCCTGCCTCCCCACTTCCAATCCCGTCAACCTTATCACGTTAGACAGCTTATGCTGCTTTTAGCACTTTTCCTTTTCTTTTTTGGTGATTCAGGGGTCGTGACAGCCCGGAGCTCCCACCACTACAGCTGAATTCCACTTTTGTTTTCATTTCTCCCTCGCTTTCTCCTTATCTGATTGCGCTTCAAAGTCTGATGCTTCTGCCAGAAGGAGAGGAATAAATAGATGCTACTGTCCCCGAAGGCTTAGACGTCGGGAAAGGCAGTCCCGGGTAGGGGCGGCGGCTGGGCTCGGCGAAGCTCGTGGGACCCCATTGGGGGAATTTGATCCAAGAGCTGTGAGATTGCCGGGGGAGGAGAAGCTCCCAGATCATTGTGTCGGCTTCCAGGGGGGAGGAGGAGACAGCGGAGCCGGCGCTCGCGCTCACTGCACTGCTGCACCCTGCCCCATCCTGCCGGAATCATGGTCTCGGGCAGCGCGGGAGGGATGCTGCTGCTGGCCGCGGCGGCGCTCTGCCTGCTGCGGGTGCCGGGAGCCCGAGCTGCAGCCTGCGAGCCCGTCCCCATCCCCCTGTGCAAGTCCCTGCCCTGGAACATGACCAAGATGCCCAACCACCTGCACCACAGCACCCAGGCCAACGCCATCCTGGCCATCGAGCAGTTCGAAGGTCTTCTGGGCACCCACTGCAGCCCCGATCTGCTCTTCTTCCTCTGTGCCATGTACGCGCCCATCTGCACTATTGACTTCCAGCACGAGCCCATCAAGCCCTGCAAGTCTGTGTGCGAGCGGGCCCGGCAGGGCTGCGAGCCCATCCTCATCAAGTACCGCCACTCGTGGCCGGAGAGCCTGGCGTGCGAGGAGCTGCCGGTGTACGATCGGGGCGTGTGCATCTCTCCGGAGGCCATCGTGACCGCGGACGGAGCGGGTGAGTCTGACACTGCCGCCCTTCCCCGTCCTCTCGCTTCCTGGAGTCCTTGGAACTCAGTATTATTTATTTTTTTTAAGAATCATTTGTTTATTTCTGTTTATTATTATTTGTTATAGGGCACATGTGCTTACCAGAGAGCGCGCAAACCTCCAGGTTCTCAGTTTTACTAATTCTGTCCTTTCTCTTCAGATCATTTATCTTAATCTCTCCCTTAATCATTCCTCAAGCACTATTTCCCCCCCCTTTAATCTCGCCTCACTTCCCTTCCAAACCGATGAGCGAGTCCAGTAGGTGATCCGTGTTTCTGAAACCCTCCGTGGGTTCCATCCCCATCACGCACCCCAGCCTTCACTTTCTACCCCTCACATGTGAAAGTCGCCACGTTTTGTGCAGCGATGCTCTTCTCTTACTTTCATTTGTTCACAGTCATTGACTTTCTCGCCTGATTCTCCTGCACTCTCAGTCTTCGGGTTTCTGTATCTTTAGTGTGGTAGCTGCTTGTTAAGACGGTATAAAAACAAAACTGAAGCCCTATTTTCCTTCTAATGAAAAAGGCCAAGATGATTTCAGTAACCTTGCTCCAGCTCACAGATGTTGGTGGCATGTGTTTGCTCAAAATCCAATTTGAGCAATTACCTTCACCTTAAATTTCCCTTGCCTTTCAATGAGATAAATTGTTCTAACATTCCAGGTTGAAACAGCTGTGAAAAATGGCTATGCACTGCTAATGAGCTTCTGTGGCTTGCTTCAGTCCTCGGCCTGATGGGCTGAAATTACTGGGCTCTTTTCACATGTGCCTTGAAGTCATTTGGTAAATGGCATATTGATGAAAGGAGCTATATTTAAGCATGTTATCATACACTAGTGCGATGTTATTTTTAATCTTACTCCTTACCGCACTTCCATATTCTGCAAATAATTTCTCTATACCTTATTCTATATCTTTCTCTGTGTGTGCATCAACCATATATTCATTTCAGTCTTCTTCTACCATAAAACCCTATTGCAGTTCTGCCTTTAATGGAATCATTTACTGCTTGCTTTCTCACTAGAGTTTTGTCTAACTATGACATTCGTAACTCTTAGGTTCTCCCTAAACCTAGTTCACGATGGTCCATTTGATTCTAACTCAATATCACTTTTGCCAGCTGCTCCAAACTCCACATTTTACCCTTTGAATATTTTAAAAATAAAGCATTTTTTACTCTGCTCTTAGACATGGTGACTTGGTCACCTCCATCTCTCTTCATTTCTTCAGCATCAAATTTTCTTTTCTTGGAGCTGGCAGGTGGGGTGGTGGTGAAGGCACTGGACTCCCACATGTCTGACCATGGTTTGAGTCCCAGACCTGGTGGCTTGCTTTCCCACTTTCCCTCTCTCTCTCTGCCTCTCTCTGGTCAAATTAAATAATAATAATTAACAAAATAAAATAATTCTTAAAAAATGTCTTTCTCTGTCTCTCAACTTGCTCAGCCTAGGTTCAGGTCCCCAGCCCTTTTCTAGGTAATAATTCTTAGTTTTCAGGGAATTGATTCAGAAAAATTACTTTCTGTGCACATTGACTCATTTAACCTAAAGTGAGAGTTTGTATTTGTACAGACAGCTAAAAAAAAATTGAACGGAAAGATTTCAAGAACTTTTTGGTGGTCACCCCACTTGATTTGTTACTCTTTAAGAGTATATATTGTCTTCTTGATTTTAATGAAGAAATGAGAGCTGACTGTATAAAACCATCATAAAGAAGTGCATTTCTCATGAATCTTTGGGGTAAAAGGCCACCCTTGAGCCTTTGCTCACGTACCTCACAGGCTCTGCAGATTCTGGAAGAGCTCAGTGCTGTTGTTGCCCCTGTTTGAGAGGCACTTAGAATGCCGCACTCTTCTTAGACCAGGGGCTAGGGAAAAGGTGACAACGGCTCACACTGAAATGCATTCTTCCTCTTGGAGAACAAAAATGGCTCTTAAATCTTTTTCAGAGATGGACCTTGAATGAGTGAGGTTTGGCAAGGTTGACAACTCTCAAAACTCCACAGTCAATATAGACAGGAAGCAGTTTCATGAACAGTCCCTGAATTACCTCTCACCACGGACTAAAGTAGAACAATTGCCTCATTGAGGCACTGACATAGGACATGCATGGAAGCAATTTGTCAGTCCATGGGACCTGATTTCTGAGCTTCTCCAAGAAGCCATAGTGTTTGCTTTGCTGACAGCATCCTTGCTAGAAATATAAGTTGGGGTAGGCAGTAGTTGCAATTATATTTTAGTGATGGTCTCCTGCCTCCTCTAACTTTCAGTGTGAAGCAGAGGCTGGTGACAAGCTGGAGCTGAATCAGGAGGTAGCAATGGGGAGTGAAAGGGTGGATTCTAGCCTGAAGGGTCCCCTGGCTCCCAGGGCCAGCTTGCTGAAAATTACATTCCCAATGCTGGGTCAAACTATCAGACACCTGGAATTACTTAGGGACTACCATATGGGGCCAGTTTCATTTACAATGCAATGCACTCCTTGGTTCAGTGGGATATGATAGTTCACAAAGCACATTTTTCTTTTCTTTCTATTTTTTTTCCTCCTTCCTCCAGGTAAAACAGAGTCCCTGTGTCTTATGACTAGAATCTATCCAGCCAGATATTAAAATAAGGTCTCCCTGAATAAAATGAGACAATCTTTCACATTCCTTCAATGCCAAGAAGATTTTTAGATTTGAGTATTCACGGGGATCTGTTTGCTCATTATGACTCTGCAGACAAGCTTAGGGTACTTTACAAGGCAAAATCATATTAAAATGGAATAATGCTTTAAACTCCTTTTTGCTTTTAAAACAGTAAGGTCAAACACTCTTTAAAGAAGAACAGGGTACATCCTAACCATTATTAATAAATATTCATATTGTTTATTATTTTTCTTCTTTTAGGTTTTTGCTGTAGGTAGTGTGCACTCGCTGGATAGAGACGGAGAGAGAAAGTGAGAAATCACCCCCCCCAGGGGTGGTAGTCACACCACAGTCCCTTCTTCTCCATTCTCTTCCTGGAACTTTGGGCATGCATGCACATACACCCAGCATGATTTTTGAGCTGCCAGGTCTGGGATTCAAACCATGGTTGACCATGTGGGAGTCCAGCATCTTAACTACCATGCCATCTGCTGGCCCCATATTGTTTACAGTATTTACAATTGTTTCAGTTGGTTACAATTACAGTTGTTTACAATCGTTGTAGAGTGTGCTACATGCACAGGTGCTTTGTTTGAGAACTCAGTTCACTTCATCCGTCAGTCAGTTAATTAGGGCATTTAGTCAAATCTAATATTGCATGGTGAGTAGAAAGTATGGGCTTGGAGTCTGGCAGACCAAGTGTTGAATCATGACTCTTCTGCATGTCAACTGTTGCTATAGGAGAATTATATAATCTCTTTGACTCCAAGATTTTTTACCTATAATGAGAACAAACCGTCTGTGTCCCAAGAGCATGGTGAAGATGAAATTGAACAGCATAGGAAACACTGATTATAGTACCCGGCACATAAAAGCCCGGAATGAATTTCTGTTGCTGCTATTGTTGCCATTTTACTATTATTATCTCTGTTATAACAAACCCACTGATTTTTGTTGTTGTTTATTGAAACGGTTATGTTGGTAAATGCACATAGGGCCTAGAACTTTTCTCAATTCAGCTCTGGGAAACTTTGCGCTGGAACCTAACTAGGAAAGCAGGTATTCCTTCTGGAAACAAAGTTAACAGTCTAACCCAAATTAACTTTGACTTCAGACTCTAGAGCAAATCTTTCTGGAAGTGGCAGGAAAAAATAAGGCCAATGAATGAATGTTAATTATAAATAGTTTATTACAGAAACCCAGAAATCAAGCATTTGTGAAGCTTACCGTTTGATACTCAACTATTTCTATAACACCTACAGTTTGCCATGCCAAGGGCTCTATAATCACCCCTCAGTCATCGCTGGTTTCCATGGTAGTGCTAACTTGTCACCCCAGGTCTTGCTCAACACATTTCTGCAGGCCCTCTCTCGCCTGGCAGAGCTGTGCCAAGTTTTACATGCAGGAACTGCTGTTTAATCATTTCTCCACTCAGAGGAACAGGCAGCCTTTTCTTCAGCTTGGGTATACAAATATTTGAGGGGCCAAATACCAAGAAGGAAGCAGAATTATTTAGTGTGATAGGAGGAGGAAAATGGAATAGAAAGACGAAATGCACATTTTAGATTAGAACTAGAGAAAAAACATGATTCTAATGTGAACCTAAACATGATTCTATGTTTTTCTATGCAAAAATGCGTCATGACTTTTCCAACAACCCAATAGCTTCTTTTAGAGCTTACCTAATTATGAGTGGCAGTAGAGTCTTAATTAAGTCCCCAAGTCTTATTTTCATAATTCACACTTGATGTCATTTCCACCAAACTTACAAATAGCAAAATTGACTGTTATATTTGACTTTTCTCTTTCTACTTGGTGTCTAGATAGAGAAGATCAAGTCACCATCTAGAAATTTAGTTTTAAATAATTAAGAATTGGGTATATTTCTGCAATTTAAAGAAAAATCACAACGTTAAAGTTACAGGCATACTAGATGTACTGCTAGTTTTACATGTTGAACAAGTCACTTGACATACACATTACAGTTTGTGAAGAACAAAAGAAATATTCGTGTGATGTACTTGACAAATGGTAAAGCACAGAATAAACATTGAACAAGGGGCTGGAAGGTGCTGTGGTGGTTAAGGTGCTGGCCTCCCACATAATCATCCATGATTCAAGTCTCGGCCTGGTGGCTTGCCTTTTTACTTTCCCTCTATTTCTTTGTCTTACTCTGGTCAAATTAAAGTAATAGTAATAATGATAAATAAGTAGGTGGCATGGTGATTAAGGTGCTGGACATTCCCACATTCCCACGGTTCAAGTCCCAGACCTGGTGGCTTTCCTTCTCTCTCTCTCCTCTTTGTATCTCTCTCTGGTCAAATTAAAATAAATGAATGAATAAATA